CCCCCAGTCAAAAAACACGAAAATAGGTCAAATGGTGTCAAATATATCATATATGGGTCAGCTGATATCAAAATTCAATTCAACATCAACAATTATACCCTTAGTCCAAATTTAAAGAGTGTTTGTCAAAACACAAGGAAGTACATGTCGGTAAAATATCTAAAATGGATCAGATTATATCAAAATTTGATTTGACATCAGAAATTACACCCTTGGTCCAAATTCCATGTCTATAAATTATGTCAAAAAACAAGAAAGTAGATAAACTGATATCAATTATATCAAAAGTTGGTCAAAAAATATGAAAAGTAGGCTAGTGGATATAAAAATTCAATTTAGGATCAGAAATTAAACCCATTGTCCAAATTTGAAGTAGGTACATCAACAAACAAGAAACAAGGTCAAGCAATATCATTAATATCAAAAGTAGTCAGTTACTATCTTAATTCAATTTACATCAGAAATTACATTCCTGATCCAAATTTCAAGTCTGTACATAAAAAAAAACCAGAAAGTAGGTGATATTTTTCAAAAATATAAATAACAGCCCAACTGATACCAAAATTCAATTATGCACATGAAACATCAGGCAAATTTTATTGAAATGTGCTTTCTCCAAGTTTGAATCCAATTCAACAAAACTTGACAAAAACACTAAACAATTTTTAACAAAATTCAATAAAAAATAAAGCATATTTGTTTGTAAGTAACAGGAAACCTTTCTTTATGCCTAATTTTATTTCCTGTGGGAAAATTCTCTACCGAGTACACTGACCTAAAAATGAACCTGCAGAAAGATGAACAGAATGATGCAATCAATGGGAGTCTGAATTCTAGAGTATGTTGTTTGATGATTTTATTTTATTGTTACCTATCAAACAAAATTGCATATACAACACTGAATTATAAGCTATCAAGAATGCATCCATAGATATAATTTGCCATAGTGAGTTTTTGGGTCAGGGTCTTTAAGCATGTCAAATGAAAAACAATGTGCAGATATGTTTTCTGTTCAGATACAAAGCACAAAGTGTAATTATTGATTCAATGTAAAAAGTATTCTTAATTCACAAAAATTAGCATTTACTGTATTACATAGCTGTATACTGTCTTTTCAATTAAGTATTGCCTGTTTCTGAAACATTTACAATTTAAAATCATCATTAGTGACAGGGTGTTGGTAATAATTGTGTATATGTAAGTGTTCTTTCATGCAGTTCTACAGAATGGCAATGATAGTGACATGACAATGGTTCTAATTTCTGTAGAACAGCTACAGATAAATACTAACATATTAAGTGTCCAGCTTTATTTGTCATCCCATGAAAATGCTGCATGTCTTAAACATTTTGTGTGTTATTGTCATAGAAAAACAAACGTTGATGCTATATCAAAATCTGTTCATAGTAGCCTCCTATTTATCAAAGTGTGTCGTAGAACCACGTTTATTAAAAGTAGACATGTAGTTTTGTAATTAAGTGAATATGAATGAAACCAAATAAAGCTTGTTACTAAGTCATAATAATGTGCTCAAGTTTTTTTTTATAAATATCATTTCTCTTGCCAGAGGTCATGATCTCAAATAATTTCATCTGCAAACAGGTCTTTCACATGTATGAAAGACATTCCAACATGAGTTGTTTCCCTTTCATTAAACTAATATTTGAAAAAATGCAATGGTCTGGGGTATTATAGCTTTAGCAGCCCCTAGAAGGGACCAACTAAATAAATATCAGCATTTTTTATAAAAGATTACCATAATAATGCTAATAACAAAGTTTGGTGATCATCCATTAATAAGTTCTGTAGAAAAAGCTGTCTAAAGGTTTATATTATTTTTGGGTCTCTTGACCCCTAAAAGGGGCCTATTAAATTAATAAGACTACTTAAGAATGATACAGACAAAGTTTGGTGATCATCCACTAATTGGTTCTGTAGATAAAGATGTCTAAAGGTTTTTTCAATTTTAAGCTCTCCTGACCCCTAAAAGGGGCAAATTAGAATCATATGAGCCAGTTTAGATGTGACTGTCACAAGGATGCTACATACCAAATTTGAAGTAAATATGTCCAGCGGTTTCAGAGAAGATGATTGTTGACGCATGACGACGGACAACGGACGCCGAAGTATCCCCTTTGAGTCTAATAGCTCATTCTGAGCCTTCGGCTCTGGTGAGATAATAAGTGTTCCATAAATTAAATACGATGGATTGACACAAAAAACCCACCTCAAAAAAATGAAATATATTTTGCTCCATTATAATAATATACATTGATAGTGTATTTGTTATTTCGTGTGCATGAATGGCTTTTAAAAATCTGAAAAAAACTTTATTTGCACGAAAGCCTAAATCAAAGGATATAGTACTCTTGTTTCAAATTTTAAAGTGTCATATCAAATATAAATGAAAAACGACGAAAATAAAACATTCTATAGTATTACACCTTTGATGATACACGAAGGGTTATCTGTCCATTCCTCACTAGGTTGACACATTATTACGGTTTCACCTTGTATTTCATATCCTTTGTCACATGAAACCATGGCAACAGTTCCGTTTGTTGTAGATGTTGTGTTAATAGATCCAAACTCAGGTGTTGGGTCGCCGCAGTCTTAAGAAAACATTAAGGAAACATTAATTGAATTTAGTTTCTTGTTAAACCGTGCATTTTCAAACAAGCTTAATGCTTGTGGGATTTTAACTTATAATTAAGTGTTTTGTGTGACTTAGCTATGGCCTTGATATCTGTTCTTTGACCATATTATTAATTTCAAATCACCAAAACGCTTTTAGTTGTTTTTTTATAATGACATTTCTCCTTTATACATTTGTTTCAAAGAAGAATATCTACAGCATTTTACGTTTGTCGTATGATACTGATAAAAACGACGATCATTCGATAGATAGCTAATTATTTAATGGCATACCTATCAATTTGCAAGTTGGACTGCTGCTCCATGTCGCATCAAGTTCACAACGTATTTCAGAATCACCAATCAAATTGTATCCGTCGTCACACGTGACCATCACAGCAGCAAGGTAATGTGTAGATGTGGAATTTATGCTTCCATTTGAAGGCTTTGGCGAGGGGCATTCTGGAAATTAAATCTATATTTCTTTATAATCAATGCAATTATGCCATTATTAAATTCGAATTCCTGTCACAGGGTCATTTTGTCTCTGCTAGAATACTCTGTATTTCATACCTATACTCTATATCACTCCCCTATCGTCTGTTTTTCAATCATTCATATCATTATTCAACTTCTTTTGACCTGTAACACGTTGACGGGCGTCATTCACTTCATTTTTGAATTCGGTCACGCTAACCTTTACGCATGCGCTCAAGAAATGAGAATCTTATAGCGAGAACTGTGTTTTCTTTACTGAATCCCCAATTTTATTTTAGTGTGTGCAAACCATATAATTACAGGTTCCTTTTCGAACGTCCTATCCTCCCGATTGAGAACTCACGTATATCGTGACATTCCTATTAAGGTTTTATGATAGCTCATTGAAATAAATACAATGTTTTGAATAAAATTTTATTTCAAAAAGAAAAAATGTTAAAAAGTAAAACTTTTTCCACAAAAAAAAACCCCTCAAATATCTGATAAAATGGAAAAATTTTTCCACACAAAAAAACAAAAGGCGAATTTTTAAACATCAACAACTTTTTCAATTTGATTTTTTTCCTTTTTTTATATCAAAGACAACTACATCAAAAAAAGAAAACAAAAAAATACAAAAAATATAAGTAAGGCAAAAAACCCGGCATTTTAAAATAACAAAAAATGTTATAGTGATTTCATAAAATTTTATTTTTTTTCTGCGGAAGGGTCTTTTTTTCCCAACCTTATATTGTCTAAAAAAAAAAGGGAAATTTTATGGAAAAAGAACGTTTTGATGATTTTTGAAATAATTACTTGCAAACCCCTTGGGAAAAAATTTAAATTGTTTTTTGTTTAAAAATTTTTCCTTTTTAAATTTCTTTTTAATTTACCTGTGCAAAAACAGAAACGTCGTTTTAAATATAGCATTATCAAAAGGTGACTAACACAATTGTTAAAATGTTAGAATTATCTTACATTTAAACATCAACAAAGGACCAAACCCCCAAATAAGCACCTGTAAAATGAGGGAGAGGACTGGAAACAAATATTTGCTTATATTTTTTTTTCTGGGTTTTAAATTTTTGACAAAATAATAAATAATAACATTTGTTGCCTTTTAGCTTTAACCCTATTTAAAAATTTTTTAATAAATTTAAACAGGGGAAAAAATTAAAATAAAAAATATAATATTAATCTTTTTGAGGATTTAAGACATTTTTTCTTAAAAACATAGAAACGAAATAGATCATTTGAAAACAATGTAAAACTCAACATTGATTGAATCTTTATAGAAAAATTTAACTTATTATTTGATAATCAAAAAAAAAAGGGGTAGCGTTTTTTACGGGGAAGCCAATCATGTACATTCAATTGTGTCGCTTTCAAATTTTACCGAAAACCATTGGTCCCAACATACTTTCCCCGGGGTCCGATAGATTTTCATTTCCACCCTACCATTTGATGTGAATTTTCCGCCTGTCCAGTTTTTTTATTTCAGTGAATAAATAAGGATAAGGCCCTGAAAGAAAAAAAAATTGAAAAAGCAATAATAATTTAAATATGTTATAAATAATTTTAAGTTTTTCTTTCCCCCCAAAGGAATACGATTTCGTTTAATCTTGTTTCCCTGAAAACTTTTGGTTTGGTATTTTTTAAAGACACAGTGAATCCAGCCAAATATATATGACCTAATTTCCCTTTTACCAAAAGAAAACCCATTTACTTCTTGTCCTCGGTAGTTGCCTATGTGCTTCTATTTTTTGTATGTTAAAATATATAAATAGATTTGTCAATGCTCCCTTTTAAGGTATTTAGTACTAATAAAGTTTCCTCTTCTTCTTCTTTGTTCTTTCTTCTTATTCTATTAATAATTTCTATTTAAATCATATCTGCCCTCTCAAAAATTCATTTTCCCGTTTGTTCTGTTTATAATACAAAAATCAAAATAATCATAACCAGAATAATTCGTTGTACACATCTCTTTTTAAATCAACATCATGATTACATTAAAATGTAAAGAATTGTCATTAATTTATCATTTAATTACATTTACATTGTTTCGCGTTTACCGTAAATACATTTGTTTCCTTTACATTGGAATACATTTGCTCGCATTGAGTGCCATTAAATTTTGTTAATATACCATATTCTTGACATTTCTCCTTCTGTTTTTCCATTCTTGTAACATTGTTACAATCATCTTTAAATATTCCCAAAAATTTTTAGGTAGGAAGGCAGCATCAGCATACAAATTTGAACCATTGTTGCTAAAATATCCAGCATCCCAATGAAGTGTCTGGCACCCCGCACTCTTAAAGGAATAAAATATTTATTAAATGTAAGCATCAAGTCTTCGTTAAGGTAATATACATGTTTCGGCTCTTCATTTATAACAAAAATTATAAAATGAGTTATAACATTATACCGTTACTCAGTCGCTGACTATATTTTATTTATAACCTTTCATTTACATACCTTATCAGAAATAATTCTAAATGTTCACTCGCTGCATTGTTTGGAAAAGTTCAAAATAATTACAAAAAGTTTAATGTTCATCAAAGCTGTTGATTGAATATTCTACCTTTTTACCAACTAAGTAATTTCTTGAATCTGAATTCCCTAAGGTGAACATATAAGTTATCTTAAACACCTTTTCGAAGCACTTTTTAAAAATATAGAAGCCAAAATTGCAAACGTTTTAAATCATAATTATATTTCACAAAATAAGCAGTTTGTAGATGTACTTCATCAAATAGAGAAAACAAGAATCCCTAAAGAAAGTCTAAAACGGAAAATATTGCAAATGCTGCAGGCTCGGTTTGATTGAGCCTGTTCATGTACGGTACTGTAAAATGCAAACTACCGTCCACGCCCCTACCACCGCCTTGAGCAAAATTCAACATTTAAACATGAAATGGAAATTTTTTACATTTAGAAACATCCGCAGATGTGATATCAAGCAACAGAAACGATGTGCAATAACATTAAAGGATCAGACTTAATAAGAAACATAAACAATAAAATGACTTACCATTACATACTATAGAAACATCTCTGCTATGGCTGCATTCATTAAGAAACAAATACTGGCAATCACCGAGAACAACATCATCACTATCACAGAAAAGTTGATCAATATAAACCGGCCCACTGCCTTCTCCATACAATGCCCCGGTAAAGAATCTCACCGCTCTAGTAATTTAAAAAAAGAAATACTTAAACTTAATTCTTGCTGCCTTCAATTACAATTTCTATATTTACTTCTCAAGTACATTCAACAAAACAAAAGTATAAATGAACATTATTTGTACGAATATATAAAGGTTTCTTCCATATTAAAGAACTTTATCACACACCCGTGCCGATTTTGCGACTCCTAAATATGGTTATTGCACGGCTGATATAATTTTAGTGACTTTATTAGCGTTATAACAAAAATAGTGTAAAGACGCGCTAAATTTAGCGTTATATTTAAAAGGCGCGTCAATTGAAAATGACTCTTATTTCACCTATTACGTCTGTTTTTGGTAATTGATAAATAGAAATATTAAATTCGTGTAAGTTCATTACTGAATTTATTGCACTCGTTGAATAAAATTATATTATGCTCACCAGAGGCTCGCGTAAAATAATTTTATTCAACTCGTGCAATAAATTCAGTATTGAACTTACACTCATTCAATATCCTCTATATATTTGAAGTTCTAAAACGTTTTTGAATAACCATAATTTTGATTATTCCAATATATTTTAATTGCGGTATATTTGTATCATTTGTAAAGGAAAAACATTTATATGACAAATCACAAATATCTATTGATTAAGAAATCATTTTCAAAACAAACTGGTATAATTCGTATAAAAATTTATAACTTATTTTCATCTATCTAACATATGAAATATTTGGATAGACATTACCAGGAAATATATAGTAGCACATATTGTATCAGCCGTAGAGGATGTTGACGGAACCCCATATGTATGTACAAATTATTTTGTGTTACGCGAGTTTACATCACGATTTTCCATTTGATTCACATTAAAAACTATGTTAAGGAACTTACTTAAGTCCAAGCATATTACAAAACACCTCTGCATCTCTTAAATCAAAATTAGAATTGCAAATGGTTCCCCATGTGTCGTTAACTTTGATTTCTGCCCTACCGTCGTTAAGCCCTGTTCCATTTGTTAATCGCACATCCGTTATATTCAGAAACGGACCTAATGATAAAATTATTTTATATGCCAATATATGAATATGTTGATAAAAAAAATATACAATATAATGTTTTTTAGTTAATATGCTTACAAAATCTTTATGTTTTATCCTATCGCTATACAATCTATTTGATCCATTGTCATGCAAAATCGCAGTGTATAGCTGTCTTTAAAAAAAACATTGCTTTAAACAAAATATTTTTATGATTTTAAGCTGTGATTCATTGAAAGAAATATTTTAGATTCATCATTTTTTGAAACGTAAACCAGTTAATATTAAAATGTATAACGTTAACGGAATCGGGACAAGTATAACATTACCTTTTTACCAACAAAGTATTCTCTTGAATCTGAATTCCATAAGATGAACTTATAAGTTATCTTAAACACCTTTTTGTAGCACTCTTAAAAAATATAGACTCCCAAGTTGCAAATGTTTTGAATCATAATTATATTTCAAAAAAGCAGTTTGTAGGCTAACTTTATCAAATAGGGAAAATAAGAATCCATAGAGAGAGTCAAAAAAGGAAAAATTGAAAATGGTGCAGACTCGGTTTGATTGAGGGTTTGATTGAGCCTGTTCATGTATGGTACTCTAAAGTGCAAACTACCGTCCACGCCCATAGCACCGCCTGGAGAGAAATTCAACATTAAAACATGAAATGGTAACATTTTGAATTTAGAAACATCCGGAGATGTGATATCAAGCAACAGAAACGATGTGCAATAACAATAAAGGATCAGACTTATTAAGAAACAAAAACAATAAAATGACCTACCATTACATGCTATAGAAACATCTCTGCTATGACTGCATTCATTAAGAAACAAATACTGGCAATCACCGAGAACAACATCATCACTATCACAGAAAAGTTGATCAATATAAACCGGTCCACCGCCTTCTCCATACAATGCCCCGGTAAAGAACCTCACCGCTCTAGTTATTTTAAAAAAGAAATACTTAAACTTAATTTTGCTGCCTTCAATAACAATTTCTATATCTATTTCTCGAGTACTTTCAACAAAGCTAAAGTATAAATGAACATTATTTTGTACGAATATATAACGGTTTCTTAACTATTAAAAAACTATATTTGAAGTTCTAAAACGTTTTTGAATAACCATAATTTAATTATTCCAATATATTCAAATTGCGGCATATTTGTATCATTTGTAAAGGGCAAACATTAACATGATAAATCACAAATATCTACTGATTAAGATATCATTCCAAAACAAACTGGTATAATTCTTATTTACAATGTGTTGTCATTTCTCTAACTTTTGAAATATTTGGGAAGATATTTTTAGGAAATATATATAATAACAAATATTGTATCAGCCGTAGAGGATGTTAACGAAATCCTATACAAATTATATTGTGTAACAAATGTTATTTTACGCGAGTTTATAACCAAAATAATAACGATTTTCCATTTGATTCCCCTTAAAACTGTGTTAAACAACTTACTTAAGTCCAAGCATATTACAAAACACCTCCGCATCTCTTAAATCAAAACTAGAATCGCAAATAGTTCCCCATGTGTCGTTAACTTTGATTTCTGCCCTACCGTCGTTAAGCCCTGTTCCATTTGTTAATCGCACATCCGTTATATTCAGAAACGGACCTAATAATAAAAATCTTTTATATACCAATATATAAATATGTTGATCAAAATATATAAAATATAATTTTTAAAGAAATTGGCTTATTAAATCTTTATGTGTTTTACCCGATCGCTTTACAATCAATTTGATTCATTGTCATTTAAAATCGCAGTGTATAGCTGTCTTAAGAAAAATAACAGTGCATAAAACAAAATATTTATGATTATAAGCTTATGATCCATTGTCAGAAATATTTAAGATTTTACATTTTCTGGAACGTAAACCAATTAATATTAAAATGTATAACGTTAACGGAATCGGGACAAGTATAAAATTACCTAAGCACATCACTGATAAATCTTTTGCATGCGAACATGAACCGTAATAGTTGTTTACAACATATTTGCAGTCATTTATATCTGTATAGTAGCGGCTGTAACAGTGTAGACTCTCTATGTATATTGGACCTTCTCCTTGCCCATAATATGCATTATAAAAGTAGTCGTAATATCTGCAAGGTGACAATCAGTAAATTTTAGTTTCTTGGTTAACAGAGAAAAAAGATTTGAAATATTTCCTTATTGGTAATATAGAAATCATTGAAACAATATTTCAGTTTTATGGTGTTACATCCACTATTTCTTTGACAGATTAAAAATAGTCTTAAATAAGCAAACATAATTACCGTAATCCAAACATATTGCATATAACACTTGCTGATTTGCCACTGAATTCTCGTGAACAGATTGTTCCCCATGTGCCATTTACTTCTAATTCGACTCTTCCATGATAAGGTCCATTTGTACCGGCCAGTCGCCATCCAGTTACATTCAGCTGATACCCTGTAATATTATATAACATATCTGAGACAGCAAATATTCGCTTAAATGATCCTCTTTTTATTTAAACGTTTCTATGAATGTAACAAAAATATTTTTAATTCAGATCAATAAATTCTTATGGAAAAATGTCTGTCAACTTTTATTTAACTAATATATATGCATTTGAAATGCTGAACTTCCTGTCCGCAAATCTTTGTTTCTAATATCTTTTTGAACTGCAACATACAACAATCCTATATAATTAAAGAATGGAATCTTAGATACACAAACTTGATAATGTTCTATACTAGTGCAAAGAAAGGCTGGACATAAACCATACATATAAATTGATATTAAAAAAGAAACAATGGAAACTTTAAAGAACGTTCGGAACGGTAAATTTGAATATGTCGCATATCGTAAACGGTAGTATTACGTGCAGGCTACCGTCCTCGCCATATATGTTTTCATACAGCGGTTTTTGTGACTTTTTTACCTGCATATTATAAATAAGTCAAAAGACTAGTTTAAAAAGCAAGCTACATATCCAAAGAGTGCAACGTAATATTGGCTATCATTATGCAAGTATATACTGGCTACTATTATATAGTGCAATAAGACTTTAGTTCTTCCAAAAGTGCTATTCGTCAATAATAGAATATTGAATGTCAATTGTATCATACACCAGAGAAAAGCGAAACAAATAAAAACAAAATAATGACCTGTACAGTGGACTCCTGCACTGTGTGTGTACAAGCAATTATTATCTACATTGTAAGAACAGTTGTTGATTTGTGATTCATTTCCACTGCATTGAAGATTTGTAATAAAAACCGGGCCGTCGCCCCAAGCATCTGTGTAAAAATGACTTGCTCTGTTAAAAAAAGATATACATATCTTAATTTCTATAAAAACAGTACATTATATTCCTGAACCATTCGTCTGATATTTAAACGCAGATATAAAAATATATTATTAAATGTTTCTTTTACAAACACCGCTCATCTGATTTAAAATTGTCAGCAAAAGTTGCGTTTCTCAAATGGTCTTTTTAACATTGATATGTTTACTGATGAAAATTAGCAGCACATTCTCATTTGAGATACATTTTATACATTTTTTAAATATGTTGGCCTTAAATCAAAGCAATTTACAGTTGCATTAACCGTTTTAACAGTATTGTTTTTAACCTATTCAAATTTTGATGAGAAATTATTATTCTAAGAGGAAAACCTCTCGATAGCATTAAAGTTCGTACATAAGTTTCCACATGTACATGAATACTATTACTAGCTGTTGCATGCGTACAAGTATTGAAACGTTACAGTGTCAATCTTTAAAATAAAAGTTGTTATCAAGAACAAGGCAAATGCGGAATTTTCCAATGTAATTAGCATGTGAAACCCTTATAGCTACACCTTGTACAAGGCCTCTCGTTTTTGAAAGAGTAATCAAGGGATAAAAAGATGAATTTTGTACAAAAGCATCCGTTTTAAATGCGGACTTATACCATTAATTTTAGACAGGATGTACATGTAATAAAACAAACTCCGAAATTAACTATCGACACGATTTCTTTGGTTTTCTTTGTTGGTATTGTTGTTATTGTGTTGTTGTTGTTGTTGTTGATGATGTTACATTTTAATAATCAGGTTCTTTACTTCCCTTTAAAATAAATTTGACATTTTTATATAGTTATGAATTTAATGTACTCCGTAGAGTTTCTGTAACCACCAAATAATTTAAGCAACACATTGAAATGCCTATTGAATAGTGAAACACATATTTTATCTGAAATTGACAATGGTTCATTTTGTACATACGTTGGCAGACGCATTCTCGTCATACCATACATGTGTTGATGACAAACACTGATTTAACCATATTTAGCTAGTATGTTCTGACGAAGTTTTATACCTTTTTTATACTTTATACTTTTCTTATTTTATACTTGTTGTTCAACCCATTTACAGTTGGACCTTACGCTTTTCTCTTTTAATTACATCTGACGGACTAGGTGGGATACTCTTTGATAGACAGTTTCGAAAGCCCTTTGAAACTGAATTGTCATAATGTTCGTCTTCTGTCTTGCTTCGTTGGGCCCTTGTGGGTGCTTTTCTTGTTGCTCTGCCTTCCTTTAGAGCATCGACTACATTAGTAGAAGTCATTGGGCTGTACCTTTTTATACTTATTTACACAGTCTTTTATGTGTCTAAATTATTTCATCTAATGTAACCATAACCATTGTTAGTATTACACTTGGCGGGGAATAATTATATTTACACTTTTGTGTCATTTAGGAACATATAGGGCTAAGAGTGAGGTTTTGCGCGCCTAAAACCGGTTTAAACTTCCACTGACCGTTCCAAGGCGGTACCCCAGTGTTTTCCTTCACGTGTTTTTCATGTCTGTATTGTTTCTTGTGTTGGATGTTTACATGTTTTATGATGTCTGTCTTGTTGGATTTTCGTTGACTGTAGGTATTTTCTCACCCCCTTTCCCATTTTTACCCCTCCCCCTTTTTTCACCCTTACAGCCCTAACTCCATCTAATATTTAATATGGACTTGTTTTGGTTTTTGTTATTTCACACTTTGCGTGTCCGTCTCCTTTCGCCACCATTGTGTCCACTCACGGTTTTGGTTTGGTGCCTTCTGGGTGCCCTGCTTGGGTGTGTCGGGAGGCTGCGTCCTGTGAACGTTGCCTTTACCTTGTTGATCTTTATTCTTGTTTTAAAATGCGATATAAATTCAAAAATTAATGATTTTATACAATTATAAAATTCTCATTTATCCCATTGGTTGGAAACAACAAAAAATGTCAAATGCTGAACAACCTCACACGTTACGCTAAGTAATTAAACTATCTCTGACAGTCAACCGAGTATGGGTTATATCCAATGCTCGTTGGTTACATAAATATTACCAATTTGGCTTCAGGAGCTGTTTTGACAAGAAAAACCCAAAATGCAATTAAGAGTCAATATCCCTATTGAAGCACCAAATGAATAAACACGAGTATACTGTTACTTTTATCATATAATTATGTTTTTGACTTTCATTATTGATCAATATCATAGTTATTTTGCAAACATGTCTAAAAAATTGCATTTATTTACAAAAACATTATTATGAGGTACCACAAGGGAGGGCTTTAACAGCAGTCTCTTGTAAGGCTAATATAAACTATATTTTGATGGTTGTCACTGTAAAGTTATCAAATATAATTTCTATTTATATTTCAATAATGCACTCAAAGTCATATTGAAATAAAATACTACATTTTGTAAATTAAGTTAATCTAAGGATAAAATATGATATGGAACATACTCTAAACCAATCATTTGACAAATGACGGTCGCCTCTGCTATAGTAAAATTGTTGCTACATATAGTTCCCCAAATACCATCAACCTGTATCTCTACACGGCCTTCGTGATGACCATATCTGTTTACAAGCTTCATATCACTGATTTCTAACGGATAGGCTATAAATATAACATTTTATATAACATGACTATAACAGCTCTATCAAATCATTTTGTATTTTTTTGTAATTTTTTGTACCAAAGTTAAATATATCTATATGACAAGTCATATTGTGAACTTAAATCCCCACAGAAAGTAACTATGTAAATAGATGATGATAAAAGCTTTTCTTATATATTTTGGTCAGTCATTATTATATAATTGAACTATAAAACTCCAAGTAGCTTTATGATTCTAATTATAAATATGTATCGTATATTGACATAATTTTAAGATATGCAATATAAGTAACGTACAATATTTTGATGAACATTTGTCATTTTGCAGCCAAGTCCCATTCTCAAGACAATCAAATGTTATTGTTTCTGGTTGATAGCCAAAGTCACACTTTGCAGTCAGTACAGTACCATTAAAAGAATCAAAAGAGCTAAATTGTATTGTCACTTTACCACAAGCTGAAAACAAAATAATATTAAGTTTTCGATGGATGTTAAGTTTTGATTATGAAAATCCGAAAAATAGAATTCCTTGGGAGCAATGACAACAGTTAAAGGCTATAATTGCAGACGTATTTTTTAATATTGAGAAAAAAATGAAAAGTGAAATATCTCTCATGATCCAAAGCAATGGCTCAAACGGTATTCAAACCTCAAAGCGGAATTCATTCCTCAACACTTTAAGTAATGGAATTAATGATCTTGAAGGATCGGATAAATGTAACCCATTCAGATACTTAAGGTTTAAAATAAAATCAAGTCAATAAAAACAAATAATGTCATGAACAATTCCAGAACAATTCCAGAATCTTTTGTTTTGAATGATTTAGTTTTAAATAAAAAAGAGGGTAGGGGATAAATCTTCATAATAAATGGTGTTTCTCGGAGCATTTTCAGGTCACATTTTGACCCTGAGTATTTTCATATTGCAGCAGTGATCCAGTTACGAATTACCCATAATCATTGTGTCTCCATTTATAGCTCATATTTTATTTTTCATATCCTTTAAGCCCGTTACCATCTCTCCGCACCAACGAGATAGTTTATTGCCTGAAATTCTGTCTGAACTTTGTTTTTAAACTACCCATACTCACGCATTAGAGAGGGTAGTAATCCGTACAAGTCGCATGGTGTTAGAGAATGATCCATCGGCGGTGTTTGCATTTACCGGTAATTTCTATGTTCAGATTCAATCTAAGGGGTTCTTAAATTTTAACATATATTGTCATCGTCATTCTCAAAGAATTTATCTATTTACAATTTATGTCAAACTTTGTTATTTTTGAAAAGCATTCAACTGAATACAATAAATACAAGCCAGTTAGTTCACCAACATCAATTATAAAGGACTTCAGCAAGCCACGATATATGTTTTGGTTGAACAAAATGTAAATTGGTCTGTATATGTTATAAAAAAACATAAATAAATAAAACACTCTATCAATGATGTAGTACAAAAAGAAAAGGAAGATGCCAATAATGCTTACGTGTACACACTAATGAAATATCATAACTGTGAGAGCAAAAGTATCGTTCTGGGGGTAGAAAACTACACTGATTTATATGAGTGTTTGCAGCAGAGCACCCTATAACACCGATGTATATATCACCTGTTCCTTGTCCGTAAACAGAAGAATTTGGAAAGAAGTGTGTAAATCTACAATTCAATACATTTTATTTTTATAACCACATATAACTGAAAGTACTAAAAACAAGTACATGTAATTCAGTGGAGTTGGAATAACAACATCAGTGGGCGAACAGCTGTAAAAATTAAATACAATCCCAACTATTCGTTGGTTAGCTTTAAGGATGGTTGTTACACACAAAAATGCTTCATAATTGATGTTGATACGCGGATAAAATTTCATCAAATTTTAAAGTAGTTAAAACTAATTTTTAACACGTTTCACAAAAAAATATTTCGTACACGTCAATTGACTGAAATTGGCTGTTTATTTCTAAAATCTTGCAATTATGACATTTAATTATATTTCTGTAATTGTAACTTTGTCAGTGTTTTTATCACGACTGCCTTTATTTTCTTTTCAATAAGCCGATCAGAAACTTTAATAATTATTTTAACTTTCTTCTATAATGCATTTCTCCCTATATTTAGATTACAAAGACATTAATTATACCAAAATACTACCATATTTAAATGCCGTATACTACTAACAACATGTTGTATTGAAGAAGAGAACGTTCAGATTTACTATAATACAGATTACTTACTTCAAATCCATTGATTTACATAAAGTGTCGGCATCATATCGTCCGATAAATCTACTGCAAACAGTTCCCCAGCCATCAGCAATTTTAACTTCGACACGACCGTCATATGGACTTGTTCCTCCGACAAGTCTAACTTCTGTTATATTATAAGGATATTCTAAAACAAAACATAAAGTGCGTACATAAATTGCAATTTAATTTTCATAGAGGCTCAAGTAATTCCGATAATTATAATTTAAAAGTTGTAATTTCTACACTGTCATTTTAAATATTTATACATACCTCCGGTACATTTATGTCGTCACCTACTATGTGATAACACACCATAATAGCATTCTTCATCCTTGTCAATTTTTCTTCTATACTTACATAGATGTGATTGATTTCAGAAATAAAATTTAGTTTCGTTGGTAATCTAAAACTTTTTTCATAAATTACGGAACACAAGACTCGTCATTTCGTTTTAGGTTGCTTTCTTATTGTTTTTTTTTTTAAATTCACTTAATTAATTAACAAATATTTATATTATTATTGGATTTTGTAGCTAAATGGGTGCAATGAAATCAGTTTTGTACTCAGCGATGTAAAATGACCTAAAATAAACACTACAAAATCTTCAAAAGAGAAAACTTGTCAAATGAATTATTGTTAATAATTGAGAGTTAAAACAAGTAAGTATTTAAATGCTCAAAAATAGTCTTAAAATAGCAAATAAGTTGTATTTTTAAGGATATGATTTCCTGTCAGTTTTAGTGTATACTTAAAAAAGTTCTGTATTCCGAATGATGACAACGTTTTGGCACAAAAGATAAAACATTCAACGGTCATTTTATATAGTTTATTGATCTGTATTGATTTTTTCAAAAAATACGGTTTATACGCATCATTGTTTAATTTCTTTATTGACAAAGTTCTGAGAAGAGAAAAACTGTATACGTTTCAATACGCTATAGCATTTCGCTGTAAAAATCGGCCAGGTGTCCAAAGAATATGGAGTATTATATGGGTTAACGATGATTTTCTGACTATATAAAGAAAACCACGAAGCTAAATGTATGAGATTTGATCCAATAGTGATTTCAAGCAGAAAGATTTCATTGTTCAAACGCTGAAAAGTACGATGTTTCGTTTGGACAATCGTGATTTTATATTTCGTCCTTACCCCTGTTTTTCACCATCGATCGTTCCAATGTGAAACGCTGGTGTGGACGACATAAAATCACGATTGTCCAAACGGAACGCCGTAGAAAAATTTGTGTTTTTAATGAATAAGGAAATAGATATCAGCTTTATTGTAAAATAATACATTACCAATGTCTAATACGGTGAAAAAAAGATTAAAAAGCATTGGATTAATCAACCCTGATTATTGTATTACAAAAAGAAAATAAAGAGAGTTCGATTTATAATGTACAAGTCAAAAGTTATTTTCTTATAAACTCCAAAACATATGTTTACAATTGAAATGTAAGAAAGAAAGTCTCATTATTTTTGTAACTCTATCAATTAATTTATCTCTTTAGCTAATTTCATTGCAATTGTATATTAATAGCTCCTGTACATAAAACTATGCAGACATAGAAACATAATCATTTACAGAACTTACTACACTCAACGTCGATTGGATAGGTACTCGAACACGTTTGACGAACATCGTATAAACATTCGTTTATGTGATCCTCCGTTCCTATACAATCAAGTTTGTCTAAATGATAAAGGTTTGAAGTGCTTCTTAAACGATTCGAAGAATAGTACGTCCAGTAGCTGAAATCGAATTCATTAAGGCACTTGCATATAATATTAGACACATGGATGACATATTCTGGTGTGCATAATTACATTCATGTAAGTATCATACCTTTATGAAACAAAGATAGCTAAATGTTGCATATTTAAGCAATGTGTAATCAATAAAAAAGAAAAAATATGGGCATTCATTATAGCTTTAATGATTTTTTAAGTTTAAAGATATTTAACAGTTAGGTTTCAATTATTATGTTCATAAAAGGTGCTAATCAGTTCATGTTACCACCAACGAAACTGATAAATTGTTTTTGATGTATCACCTACTCAATAAAAAGTTGATGTTATGCGACACACTGGTTCTAATGAACTAAATAATTTCTGTTCACCAATTACAAATTTAAATTGATCTTGTAAAAGTATAGTATATTTAGGTTAATATTACTTAAATCCAAGCATCTTGCATATCACTTTTGCGTCGTTGTATTGAAAGCTATTACGACAGATCTGTCCCCAAGTAGCATTGACCTTGAGCTCGACAATACCATCGGTAAGACCTATACCGTTGACAAGCCGTATGTCAGTAATGTTCAGTGGATACCCTGTAATTAAATTAAATCAATTTAATTCAATTCAAACGTTTATTGTATAATCAGGCCACTAGCCCATCTACATATTACATAATACAAAATATAATTATAATATAACAGTCATGTGAGGCAATTATATTATATTTATGTTGTCAAGAGAACAGAACAATACACACAATTATTTCAGACATATTTTATGATACAAAGTCAATTTAATAATATTCTAGTCAAACGTGAGACAATGTATACTTTCTTTTGTAGCAAAATACAAATATATAGCAAGTTCTCTTATGGCTTCTACATTTTGACAAGACATTAAATTATAAAACACTAGTTCATTTGGAGTCTGATAATATACAGAGGGTATGTATTTAATCCTTAAAGCTGCACGCCTCCAGCTGAGCCAAAATATTTCAAGAAAATGAAAATTGTGAAAAAATGTACTTATATTTCAAGAAAGGTAAAAACAATGAAGATCAATGTTAAAGTTTACATGTTATTTGCGATTTAAGACTGATTTTGCAGTATTTTATCACCATATTTCTACTGCGTTACTAACGCAGTAAGGGCTTCTTTGCACATTTTGACCTCTTTTTGGTTATTTGCATGGTTTGTAAGTGTCAATTGCAATATGTAATTAACTTTATTTGTTTACCTCACAATATTTTACTGTCAAATACATTATCAAAACATTTTCATGAAATTTAACATGAATCTGGAAGCGTGCTGCTTTAAGTCATTGTAAAGAGGACACACTGACACAAAATGGTAAAATTCTTCCAAATAACATTCACAAGAAGGACAATTCCTATATTCAACAGTGATATCATAATATCTACATTTTTTTCACCATAACGCTATGTGTTGAACTACGATATCTTGCCATACTGGTTCTAAATTTGTCAATATCAATGGCATTGATATTTTTCAATAACATAATTTTGTTTGAAATTTACATAATGTCATAATTAACTCATAGTACTACACCTATCTCTCCATTCTTGTACATATTAATCCTTTAATCTTTGAGTATATTGTAACAAAAATAACTTTGGATTGTCAACACTTTGATCCTCCCAAAATAACCATAGCCATTTGAAAAAAGATGCACACGAACACCTGTAGCCCAATTATGATAACCTATGTTGTCATAGATCCTTAACAGTTTATAACATAATTTTACACAATGATCAGTAGAAAAATTAAGTATTCGTATCCATACTTCGTACTTATTTTTTTTTTCAAATGTCGTTTACAGACAAAAATATGGACATTTTCTATACAAGACATCTTTCGCAGACCCCACAGTAAAACTGTTCAGAACTATATAATAATATGGGTGCTACTTTGCATTATACAGTTTAAAAAAAGTTATGCTAGGTAGACAAGGTAACTGATCTAGAGAGTTAATCATTAAACTGAAGTCTTTTTTGCTTTATCTGATATATTTCTGCCATTTTATAGAAACACAATATATTTGTAAAATAGATGCCAACGAAAAGACATTTACAACTTCTATATTATCGTTACCATATTACCATTGCTTTCTTTTAGCTAGCCTACCACCTTTCTTGAGCACCAATATTTTTGTCTTTGATATAGTAACAGATTAACTTATAGTCATTACAAAATTGATGTAGAACATTTAGCTGTTTCTGTAAACCTACAACTGTATCTGACATGAGGGCAATACAATGTCATCTGCAAACATAATCATGAATAATTCAACACAACTAGCAAACAATTGTATACCACCAATTTGTTCATTACAAATAACTATTTATAACTCATTTATAAACATAGAGACCAATATCAGACTTAATATCGGAATAGGGCAGTCAATTACATTTGTTAACACTGTCCTAGTCCTAACACATGCTCTAACTTAAATATTAATTGAATGTATATCCCTATACAATTGACATTTGATACCATTTTTCTAAAAAAAAATGTGTATAATAAGATCTATCAACCGAATCAAATGCTTTTTGAAAGTCTATAAAAGCTACACATACTGATTTCTCATTCATTCTAAAATATTCTATAAAGACTGTTAAATTAATAGAATAGCAAAATTTTAATAAAGCTAACATCTAACCTTAACATTCACATAAAATATTAGAAAACCAAAATTTATGTTCTTGCACTTAATGCACGGCAAAGTCAAACGCATTAACGTTAACATATCAATCCAGAAAATACAAATGTAATTCAAACTTACCAGATGTTGCACACGTAATGTCGTTTGACCATGTTCCATTAGATTGGCATACACTTGTGTGTGTGTTTGTCTGGTAGTCAGTAACACAAGAGGTTGTAAGAACCGAACCATTTGATGATATTGACTCAATGATTCCATTATTGATGTCGATTTCTCCACATCCTGCAAGTGAAATGAAATTATCTCACAAACCATTTTACCTTATGTGTTTCACGAACTTTCCACAATAAAAGCTGGTTAGTGTTTATTAACTTAATATTAAGAAAAAGCTTTTACTTTGCCTACTGTTACTTATTATTATATATGGTTATGATCAATAATCGTTTATTTGATGTTTATTTTAAGAATTGGAAAAAGGGAGGAAGTTTATTTTTTTATATTTATGCACTTGTAAGCCGAAACTGATTAAATTTGATATGATTTTCTTAAGTTTTTGTGACTTACGATTTTTCAAGTTCCCGCCCATTAAAGATTATAACCATTTTTCTGAGAAGTCGAATATGTACCTGTGCAGATTACTCCAATGTCTTGATAATTAGAGCAAAACACATTGGGGTCAAAGCGACAATCTCGAAGGTGACTTTCATGTCCATTGCAATGAAACCTTTGAGCAAATACTGGTCCTTTACCTTGCCCATAATGTGCTCCCTTAAAGAATGATGTTGCTCTGAAATGGAAATTAATATTCTAGCATATACGTGGCCTTTGTCATTACGTTTTATCTACCATTTGAAAATGTGTTCCAAAAACAAACCTATTATGACATTAACGGAAATGTTAATGTCCGTTTAGTATACAAATGCAAAATAAAATATATGACGAAATCAATGTCAAGTGTAATCATTTGAGTGTTAAATGATTAACAAATATAGGAATTAGCACTTAAAATCGAAAAGAGTAAATAGTTTAAATATGTTATTTCAAAGACAAGTAAAATGCAAACCAAGCATTATTAACAATGTCTTTAGTTCATATTGCAGTGCCCGCTTTAATATTTAGACATATGACAGGACAACACTATGATAAATATGGCACAAGTGCAACATTGTCGCAAAATACGCCTGTGACAGAGATGTGGACATTAAAGATATGCATATAGGAGATATGCTCTGGGCAATATCGGGAATATATCTGGATCTTTTATTTTTGACCTTGTACTTGACAATATTACATGTGTCACACTTGTAGTAATGATAATTATCATTTGTGTTACAATCCATCAATAAATTATGACTAAATGGTCCTTGTACATATCTTCTGTTTTTAACTTTGACCTGTCTATATGCGCTTGACTTTGAAAGCAGGGACATGGTGTATGTGCGCAATACTTAGCCCACAATGTTGCCAAGTTTAATGTAATTCCCACGATGAATGTAGCAGTTTTCCTCTAAACAAGCATTTTTCAATTACCTCTAAATGTGTCTAGAGACCTTGTTCATGTACATGACACCGTTTCTCATAATTTTGAACATTTTTATAACGTTTCATTAGAATCCCTGCGTATAAGAGATATGCTCCGGACAAAATTTGTATATTTCATCATCTTTTGTGACCTTAACATTGCATATGTTGACCTAAATTACAAGTATCGCAACCGTAGTAATGTTCATGACAGTTTGTGTTACAATCCCTAAAAAATGATGATTAAATGGCCCTAATACAAATCATCATATTTTTACCTGAACTTTGACCTCTATGTGTGACATTGACCTTGCCTGCAGATACATAAATTTTACGCGCGACACTCTGTTTCACAATGATTCACATTTGTGCAAAATTATATTGACATCTCTCAATGTAACTTTTGCTTTGGACAAGCTTTTTTCAATAAACTCCAAATGTGATCTTAACCTAGAGACCTGGTTCATGCCCGCGACACTGCATATATTTGTGAACATTTCCGCCAGCTCGCCCATCCGCCGTAATGGACGTTCCTATGATACGACCCGTTTTTGAAAAGGCGTATGAAAAAATAGGTTATAATACTAGAAGATACTGTATTTGCATTCGTGCAATTTAAGAAAAGATACTAGTAAAAGCAAAATTGTCAAACAAAACTCCTATTCTTTTCCGCTGTTTGGGGCAAAAACGATTGGTTACCGAATTACTAAAACGTACGTCGTAAATAGTCAAAGAAATACTTAATTAGGTGATTGATTTCATAGGAAGACTACACGGGTTTCTGCAGTGGTTTTACAGTGTTTGAACGGTCGTCAGTTCGAGTCCAAGTCAAGGCAGGATTCGTTTGTGATGTATTTATATCTTTCCGTTACAAAAAGATATCGCGTATATATATTTAACAAGCTGATGAAAAGAATTGAAGAAAATATAATGAACATACGTCAGATTCAGAGTTCTGCATATAACTTTGGCGTCGTTCATGTCAAACCAGTAATCACAGATTGTTCCCCAAACACCGTCAACCTTGATCTCAACACGTCCGCTAAATGTACCATTGCCATCTACAAGTCTTACTCCAGTAATGTCCAAGTAATCGGCACCTGATTATTTATACAAGTGATAATTTTTCTTTATGATGTCTTCAAGTAAATTGTAATAGAATCGCAATTTAGTATTTGCAATAGTCTGCAGTCTATGAATTTAGCAGCTAAAAGTATACGATTCGCAAAAGCTAGCATTTGAAATAGTAGAAATACGCATTATTTCTTTAAACATTTTCTTTGAGGACTCAGTCAAAATATTTTGGATAATGTTAGAGTATATCGTAGATGATTGATAATTAAAGCTTTCGAATGCATGCGCCTTTGATGATAGTTTTTATAGTATAACATGTTAAGTAATTGTCCAAAAATTAAAAATTAAAAATAAAGAGAACTTTGAATCATATTCAAAACAGCCTTTCAATGTTTTGTTTAGAAATTGTAGATTAATTTCCAAACATTTCTCCATGCCAACTCCATGCAAGACCTGACAAAGGCAGAAAACTCATTCAAGCAAGAACATAAACAATCGACAACAATAAGACATAAACAAAATGATAAATAACATACTATAAGACAAAATTTCATACTTATTTGAAAGTTATTAACTATGTTATTGTAAGTTACCTGTTGTTGTATGGACTGACGTCAGCAGAAACAACAGCAAAAACGTTATCTTGCACATTTTAACTGTAAAATAGAAACGAATTTCTCTTTTGACTCATTATACTTTAAACACAAACACATGCATAGCAACATAAAAGTTACAAAAAAGTTATCACCTCTGAATTGACAGGAGAAAATACTTAACATGCTTTAAAGGATTTTTCTATTTGTCAATCACATAAGCATTATGCTGGTAAACTGAGCCAAATAACATGATTTTGTTTTTTGTTTAGGTTTTATCTCATCGGCATGATCAATACTGGTCACGTATGTGTTTTATCACAGATGTATAATCAAAATAAAATGCAAACTTAGACAGACAGTCATATTCAATGGAACTTTTTGATAAGTCATTAAAAGCTATTCATAAATTATATAATTAAACAGATATGTACTTTTTAGCTGCTGGATATAATGTGATATGTACTGCAAAATTAATATAGACCTCGGCTATCATATTCACCAGCTAAAAAGTCCATATTTGTATAATATACTCGTGTAATACAAAAAGAAAACGACAATGTTCACTCTATGATAAATATACTCAACAGTTAAAAGTGTGTATTATTAACAATTTTGAGTTAGCAAATAAAACATAATCATTTTGTTTTAAAACATAGTAATGTCTTATGTAATTTTTATTTTAAATATTTTACACTTTGATGAAACGAAATACCTTTCATTAGTATCTACTCCGTACGCTAATTATTAATTAAATGTCTGCATGCAAAGTTGATCGCCTAATTTATTTGCATTTTTTAATCATATACGTTTATACTCAATAAATGCGCAATTTGTTGCCAAATGATAGAAAAATATCAACCATTTCATTGGTTGTTGCCAAATGATTATAACAATATTATTGAATAAAATGTTATATTCAAAGCGGAATTTCTTTATAAATATTTGCAATTATAAGTTTCATTGGCACGTAAGAATCCATACAAGTTATGTTTGCCATACCCTTTTCACATGATGCGTGGGTAGTTGAATTCTGTGACTAACACCCGCAAAATTAAGTCTTGCACCAGCTAGACCATGAACTATTATACATATAATGATATTGAAGAAGTCTTGTAAACTACTTGATAATCATATTAACTAACTATACACTTTACATTTGAACGTTCTTTATATGGAAAGAAGCTCATGTTATCGTGATTTCAGTCCCTGATAGCTTTAAAATATTTTTCAGAAGAAATAAAAACATAAAAGAAACAAGATAACAAAAAGTTTTACAGTACCGAATAGCAAGCAATACAACATTTTATATTTTTTTATATTTTTGAAATACGGATTATCAAACAGAATGCAAAGAATTGATAAATTTTATGACTCATGGTATCTGCAGCAACAGAAACCATTATAATGCTACAATATAAAACAAAAAAACAGGGAAGAATATGCTCAAGCGGACATACTTTTGTTTGGTCTTCTCTTAAACAAGAATGCATGGTACACAATGGAATTGGACCACGGCCAAAAAGAAGTTCATATAATCTCCTGTTTGGAGATAGATATATACGAGATATTTTAAAAAATTCTATGCCTGATAAATTTCTAGCCACTGTACTGACATGTACACACGATACGTCTATACAAATATCTTCTTGAAAATTATTGACCGAGTTACAAGCGGTTTTACACAGATTACGAAACATACTTTGATCAGTGGAGGGGTGCATCATTTAGACCAAATGAAGAAAGTTGAAATCAGAGCCGTCATTAAGTTCCTCTGTAAGAAAGGGGTGTCCTCCAAGGAAATCCATAAAGACTTCATGGATACACTTGGGACGGGGTCCTCCTTCTATAGCACTGTGTAAAAATGGGCTGCTAAATGAAAGAAGGGAAAGGAGAGGATTGGAGACGAGGCGCAGCTTAGGCGGCCAAAAGAGGCCACCAACGACGAAACTGCCAAAGCTGTGGACGATATGGTCATATGCGATAAAAGGTGAGACCTGCGAAGCATTGCTTAGGAAGCGGGTATAATCTTTGGTTTCAGACTGATGTCTATGGCATGTCAAAGATTTCCACTAGATGGGTTCCCGGACAGTTGACTGACAAACGGACAAGGCTTGACATTTCAAGATATCTTTTGTCTCGCTACGCTACAAGGATGAACCTGATTTTATCTACCGGAACTCAGGATTAAACATTACTTCGATCCAGAATCCAAATGCATGCAGTGGAAGCACCCTGGCTCACCCCCTCCGACGAAATTCAAGAGAGTGCCATCAGCAGGGAAGATGATGACTTCAATTTTTTGGAAACGTAAGGGGATAATCATAATTTACTATCTTGAGCAAGGTTGTACCATAAACGGTACGTACTCTGCAGACAAACTGACACGTCTGCGTTAAGAAATCGCGCGTAAAATGAGGGGCAAACTGCCTCAAAGCGTTCTGCTCCTGCACGACAATGCTCCAGTTCGTGGTAGACGTTTTGGAAGCAATGAAGGTGTCATGGAGGCATTCAATGAGTTCTTTTCGGACCAAAATAGAGAGTTCTATTTTGAAGTGTTAAACAAGTTGGAGAAAAGGTGGGCAAAGTGCAATGATGAAGAGGGTGATTATATGGATAAGTAAGGCCATTAGTTGGGTTCGCTGACTACCGAAAGTTCATCGGGCCAAGAACTTTTTCATCAATCCTCGTATATGCTCCACTATTTTTTTTACATTTTAGAAGTCATTAATTATTCAAAGGATATGTTTATTTTGTGCAGTATGCTAGATAAAATTTAAAAGTATCTCACTGAACTGACAAAAGCAGTTTTTTTTATTTTACGAAACGCAAATTTGTTAATTAAAAAAAGCTATGTTATGAAATGAAAATGTTTATCTATTTGGAAAAACAACCAAATACAAAAATGTGTCATTGTTATATTTCTTTGACTTATATAAGTTATAGCACAAGTGGAACGAGGAGATGCAACAAAAATGTAAGATCAAACAAAAAAATCCTTAATAATAATCACTCCGTGACAAAAAAGTATGAAAGGTAAAAAAAATGAAAATGTTAGCCCTATATTTCACTTGAATCCAGCAGACACACGCGGCAAAAATTAAATATATCAAAACGGCATAAAGTAAAAATTATACTGATATACTGATATCCTGACAAAAAGTTCATTTCTTATTTTACTTTTTGAATGCAAATATGCTCGTTAATTATTCTTTTTTGATTTTATTAATGTTTATTGACATTTTATTTTCAGTAAAAACATTGCAAATATCAGTTAAAATAATTATAACCTGCTGATAAAAGAATACAAAAATTTACATTTAAAGATTCATGAGCAGCGTCTTCGTGACAAAATTAACTAGATCTACCTATGATTTTTATTGTAATTAATATACCATTAAACAGTTAATGAAAATATATATGTAAATATTTAATGCTCACAGCACATATCTAGTACTAGTTGTTTCATTTATTTTAAGAGACTTACGCACATATGTAAGTTGACACCTTGCATGAGATTAGTGCATATTTCAGAAACAAACCGTACAATTGTACGGTGTTCCGTTTAAACAATCGTATTTGATTTTATTTCGTGTGTACCCGCGATGCACGATGGTACGATGGTGAAAACGCAATGGTACGATGGTATGATGGTAAAAAAACGATGGTACGATGATGAAAACGCGATGGTACGATGGTGAAATCGCGATAGCGCGATAGTACGATGGTGAAAATGCGATGTTATTTCGCGTTTCACCATCGTACCATATCGAGTTCACCATCGTACCATCACGTTTTCAACATCGTGCCATCGCACCATCGCGCCATCGTGTTTTCGCCATCGTACCAGCTCGATTTCACCATCGTACCATCGCGTTTTCACCATCGTGCCATCGCACCATCGCGCAATCGTGTTTTTACCATCGTTACAGCGCGTTTTCACCAACGTACCATCGCGTTTTCACCATCGTGCCATCACGTTTTCACCATCGTACCATCGCGTTTTTACCATCGTGCCATCGCGTGTTCACCACCGTGCCATCCGTTTTCACCATCGTGCCATCGTGTTTTCACTATCGTACTATCGCGTATTCACCATCGTGCCATCGTGTTTTCACCATTGTACCATCGCGCTTTCATCATCGTACCGTCGCGATTTCACCATCGTACCATCGAGCTTTCACCATAGTACCATCGCCATTTTACCATTGTACCATCGCGTTTTCATCATCGTGCCATCGCCTTCTGGTGGACATGCGCACTGAACATTTGTAACAACAATGGATGAATGGACTATGTATTATGTGAGAGGCTATATGTATCGAGACATGTTCAATATAGTGAGGCTTAAAATGGGATTTGATCTCAGGTAAACTACAAGAAAAGCATTGATGCAAAGCATCACAGGGCGTCCAAGCAAGAAATGCAGCAAGTGAAGATGAACTAGTACACATATGATGACAAGATATTCTTATAAACTACCAGAAATGTATATCACTTATGAATGAGCGGACGAAAAACATTGTTCATTATGAACTTTGATTGGCATGCTAGAGATTAGAATATTACTTGTTATTTCTTTATGATCGTGGTTATTAATAGCAACGGATATACATGTATGCAATCATTTATATTCCATATGTGTAACGCATGATCAACACGTACCACACCTTTGTAATTGTCCCTTATTATGTTATCGCTATTAGCTTTTTTTTTTTTTTTGATGCGTTTATGTAAGGTCACCGCCGGAAAGCCCATATGGGCGACCGTACACTCAAGTCGGGTCATCCTAAAGCGTCCCGCCGAGATTTTTCGTCGATTTTTTTCCAGCTTTATTGGTGGAGGAAGACCCAAGGTGCCCCTCCGGGCATTATTTCAGGCACGAGCGGGCACCTGGGTAGAACCACCGACCTTCCGTAAGCCAGCTGGATGGCTTCCTCACATGAAAGATTTCGACCCGAGTGAGGATCGAACCTACAGTGGTGATGGACCTGTGATCTCAAGTCAACGACTTTAACCACTCGGCCACGGAGGCCCCATCGCTATTAGCGAAGACCCCCTCT